CCCCCCCCGCGCATCAGGCTTTTGAGATATTTTCACTTTTTGTTTTTAAGTTTGATCTTTAAAAGCTTGTACAGTACAGATTTGACCATCCATTGCAATTTAGAGCTATAACGTTTCAGAAAAAAAAGGGACATATTGATGATCCTTATCCTTAATTCATAAACATAGCTAATATTACAATGTTACAAATTATTTTGTGGTTATTATTTTTATGATGATTTTTCTGAAAGTTGTGCTAATGACCAAACTGGGCCATCATCGGTGAACTTGGGCTGGCCCATCACAGTCACATGGTGGTTCAGCAGGCTACCGTTACTGTCGGACCCTGTCTTCATTTCTAACCTAGTTTGTATGTTTTAGGATAGGAAATTCTAGGTGACTGCTGACACTTCCACTTGAATTTTTGTGGGCAAAAGAAAATGACTTCAAGAGGAGAGGTAGAGGGGAAGCGGGAGTTGCTATTGGCCTGATAAAGCTCATCAAAATTAGTTTGAAATTTTTACTATTGATATCAGCCTCAAACTAGGATTGTGTGGCGTCAACTACAAAAACCTATGCTGAGGCAGTTTTACCGGAAAGGACTGCAACAAATCAATGATCAACAGTGTCATCTAGTGGTTGGAGGTTCACACTACACTTCAAACGTGTCGCAACCACTCTCAAATGTGATTAGCGTGGTCTTGGGTACTCTCTGCTTTATCAGTTCCTTTGGTGCGCTTGGTTTGCACAGAAGCATACACATCCGACACAGTGGTAGCGGCACGCACATTTCCTTTCTCTTCCTCTCTCGACTCATCAGACTGAAGCACGGCTGAGTACTGAATCTGAGAAGAGCTGCAAGCAGACTTGGTCTGAGGGCCCTTGAGGCTTAGGTTGGCATAGCAGTCAGTAGTTTGTGGCTGAAAAGGGGAAAGAAAGATGATCTCAATGTAATTGCCTAATATAATGTGCTTGATTATTGCGCAGTATTTACATGTATCTATTTAATATATAGTAGATGGTGCAGCTTTATTTGTAACCGCACGTTTACAGTTGAAGGGCAATGTGCTAAATTGCTTTTCATTGTTTCTGCAAGAAAGTTGGACTCTACTGTGTTTGTATCCATTCTTTAAAGAGCGTTAAGCTCTAGTTGGCCTTTTCGAATGATTTATAGAAAGAATGACTGTAAAGTAGACGAGTCCACAGTGGCCATAGAGTTCAGTTCTAAGATTTCTGATCAAATGTGATGATAGAATATGCAATTATTTTTCAGACATGAAAAAATAAAATTAACTTAAAACCTGCAACTCAGAGCTTGAGCTCAGTTGATCCCTCAAAGATGATGAACTGACCGTCACGTGTGGAGGGTTGATTTCAGAAATCGCAGTTGTGCCTGAGGACGTACAGATGTATAGACAACACAAATCCATAATGGAAGAGGACATTTCTTAAAATCACTTACTAGTTTGCATGCAGCTAACGTTTCCGTATATTGGAGAATCTTGCATCTGTTGAGGACTCTGACTGAAACAGCACATAAAAGGAGGTTTAATTTATTTTCAAATGGCCACTGGATTTTTTTGAAGTGCATAAAATCTTTTGATTAGGTCAAATATAAATACCTTTGTCTTTTCCTTGACCAACAACTTTTTTTCTCTAATCAAACATACAAAAGAACAAATCAAATATAAGATGATTAAAATGCATTTCTTCATTTGATTTAAAGCTGAAGAAATTGATTACCTGAGCAACATGATTTGAAAACACAAAAAAGAATATTGCCAAACAATGAGAGTACCAGTAATCCACTGGTCACCCAGAATAAAGGTGGCATACAAAAGGGGTTCCAATCTGTCAAAAGAGAGGACAAAAATACGTCCTACTTTCAACAAAATAATCATGAATATTTCACTTGTCTTTTTTATTCACTGGATAACCTTAATGTCGCCAGGTGTTGTGATGAGATTTTGCTGTTTTAGAAATGAGCAACAATGACAACAAAGACCCACATAATAATCATTAGGAATGTGTGACACACTTAATATGGCAAGTACGGTGTAAAAGCAGAACTATTGTAGCAGCTCTTGTATTAAATCTGTAAAGTAGTATTTAGTATATATACTGGTGTGTATATATATATATATATATATATATATATATATATATATATAGGACATATGTAATAAATCGATCGTCATATACTGTACTTCTATATCTATTTATCTATTTCAACACTTACCCCGTTGGATTGCGCTATTAGAACAGTTTTTCATGTTCATGATTCTCTGATCGCAAACAGACAGTTTGCTCGCTCGCTCTCGAGAAAGTGACTTGCAAGCAACTGTTGTCGTCTTAAGAGGATGGCACTTATGAGGAAAAAAAAGACACAATGACATGTACAGGAAGTGCGCTTTTGCAGAAACCACAGGCTGAGAAAAAACAACATGTCAAAAGTAGAAAATTGGGTGTCAGACTGTAATAATTGACAACATCAAGAAAGGCAGGCACAGAAAAATCCTGACTCAAACAAAAAAATGTGTTGCAGCTGAACCTATTCAGACAAACAGATTTTGATAATTGGTGCTATCAAAGGTTGACAGCCGGGAAAGTGTTAAACCAAGATATATGCCAGAAGAAATGTGGCATCTAAATGTTGCATTTTGTTTTTACTGCAACGATACTTGGTTAGCAGAGTGTAAAAGTGGTTAGTGTATCCGCCTCACAGTTCTGAACTTGCGAGTTTGAATCGCAGGCCTTCCTGTGTGAAGTTACCCTGTTTTTGTATGGTTTTCTCCAGGTACTTTGATTTCCTAAGACATTTCAAAAACATGCATGGGTTAATTGACATCCCCTAAATTGTCCATTGGTGTTAACATGAGTATGAATGGTTATTTGTCTGAATGCACTGGTGAGCTTTCCAGGGTGTAGCCCACCTCTCACCTGAAAGTCATCTAGGAGAGGCTCCAAGTCACTCACAACCCTGTGAACAGGATAAGTGGGATATGAAATTATTAGAGTAATAGTAGACCAAAAAATAGACAGGGACATTCATGGAATTGAATTACATTTATCTCCTTCTGTCACGGGGACATTGTCAATTTGACTATTGAACACAGTTACTACAGCATCATGCTGCATGTGGACTGCACGTCTGCTTCACAATATGAAGTTCTGCGTTCAAATAATGTCGGATTTGTATGTTCCTTATACGCACTTTATACAAGATTTAAATGTTTTTTTTCTTCCTCATATGGTTTCTCTGTGGCTTGCCATCTATTTTTTAATATCAGGATCATTAGGCTGTGTGTGCAAGTTTTGTATGTTTGTGTGCATGTGAGTGTGTGTGTGGGCGAGTGTAGATTTCCTTGTGTGGATATTTATTTGCGTATGTTGAGGGGGGCTTCCTCTTTTTATGGTGTAAGTTTGAAATGTTTTAACTGTACATCACTTTGAGTTGCATTTGTATGTATGAAAAGTACTATATCAATAAAGTTTGATTGATTGATTCGATCGATGTATGATGCTAAATATGATGCTCAATATTGAATGAGGTTTCTTGTCACTATGTTGTTATCGCACATCAGGAGCACTCCGCCCCCACCCCCCAAAAAAAAACCATATATTTTTAAAAATTCTGATGAACCGCCAATATGCGTATAGGTGAATCCGCGGGTACCAAATCGTGAGTATTCGGGGGTCGTCTGTACTTGAACTCTGGCAAGACGTTTTAAGTTTCTGGCCACCTCCTCTAAGGACTGACAATGGGCGGGTCCAACTTTTCTTAGCCACGCCCCTCTCAACCGTGTCTCTCTTTTCTGCTGATCGCTGATGTGTAACTAACTTCAGTTTGCAAGCACGCTGCAAAAATGTTCACTTTTGGATCAAAAGTGCTGTTGCTGCTCCTCCTGGCTTTCCCCTGCGGCTTGATATCCATGGGTAAATTTTTTTCAGACTGCGTGTTACCGTGCTTTTACTTTTGTGCTGTTAAAATGTGAATTAGACAAAATACATCGACGTGGCATATTTACCACGAGAAGATGTGAAGCCAGCAGTTAGGTGTGCTCATTCTAAACTACTTTTTTTCATTATCTGAAACTATAAACTTAATGGACGTTGATCGCCTCCAGTCAAGGTTTACCATTAGTCGTTTGGAATGAATGAACGTTATCGACGTCTGTTTGTGTGAAGCGTGAGATTTTATCGCATGCGTGCCCACGCAGAGGTGAATTGATTCGCCAGCGAGGAAGCAGATGTTTTATCTTCGTCTGTTTAAAGTTGAAGTGTGTGGATGTAGCGACACTTCGGTGCTCACGCTTGATGGGACACGTCACCATAGTGTGGGTAAAACGCTAACTTGTATTTGGAGCGTTGTCTGACGTCATCGGTCAAGCCGCCCCACTCGGCCGCTGTATTAACGTTTATTAGGAATTGCTCAAATGGGAATTTGACCAAATAATGCATTCATAAAGTGGAATAAATAATTGTAATGAATTATCATGTTTACTACAAATGTTTCTGTTTTTCTAATGTACTCATGCAGTACAACTAACCCCTCCAGAAGCATCTGATAATTGACCATATATAGGTGCAATTGTTTAGAACAAAGTACTGTACACAGTCTCTTTGCCTGAGGTAGATTTTATTTATTTATTTTTTTTGCAGTTGAGCAGTGTGTGTGTGTGTGTGTGTGTGTGTGTGTGCATATCATCAAACAGTACTATAGAGATATGAAACCGTGCTAGTGGTCATTTACGTTCATTGGGAATATCGTTCACAAAAGTCAATTGTCTTTTCAAAATTAGATTTAGCTGCCAATACATGAACATTCACTTGGCCTCAATGTATCAGGGCGAACAAAATTACAAGGTTTAAATCAGATTTCCTTTCTTTTTCATTGCCGTGCAGGCCGAGTGTCCGCCAACACTGAATCTGCCGAGGACGTTGACCCAGATGCATCTGTCGATGAGGAGGAAGAAGATGAAGAAGAAGAGATGCCGGTGGAGGAAGAACAGATCCAAAGCTCGGCACGTAACATAATTAACAATTGAGCAGTGTTATTTCCCACTCTACCTTTAATGTCACGTTGCGTTGCATGTCAGGAAGGGGATGACGACGACTCCGAAGGAGATGATAAATTGTTAACATCTCACGCTGATGCCGACACAACCATTGTCTTCACGACAGGAGAAGGTGAATCCGATTTTGATAGAGGGGGCTCACCACTGTACTTTAACACTCATCTCCTTGTCTGAATACTTTAGAATTTCCCGCTAATGAAATTGTGAGGTTTCTGGTGGGCTTCACCAATAAGGGAAGTCAGGATTTCACCGTTGATTCCTTAGAAGCAACCTTCCGTTACCCTCAGGACTTCCAGTTCTACGTTCAGAATGTGAGTCAGAACCACTTTTCAAACCTCCGGGCACTTTTTTTTTTTTTTTTGCATTGCAAGTTCAGTCTATCGTAATTATTTATATCTGCCTGTGAATGTTAATACTGTGTATGTATATTCTGGTAAGATATATGATGGAGGCACCCTGCACAATCTATTGTAAGGGTTTATCCAAAAATAGGCCTTTACAAAGCCAATAAAGCTCTGTATCAAGGGCGGAGTGCCCATCGGGGATTTCTGTCAAATTAACATATTTTCCCGAACGGCCGGTGTATTTCCCGTGCATCATGAAAGGCTTCATTAAACAATTAACAATCACTATTGCATCATGGAAATTTCAACGATCAGTAACTGACGAGTTTGCCAGAATGAACAAGGCAGCTTTTTTAATGAAATTCTATTTCATATGTTTGTTGTAGTTCACAGCTTTGCCTCTGAGCACGGTGGTTCATCCGGGCGCGCAGGCCTCCTTCGAATACTCTTTCATCCCAGCTCAGCCCATGGCCGGTCGTCCATTTGGTCTTGTTATTCTCCTCAACTATCATGACACTGAGGTTAGAGAGTACAGTATCTATTTGTCCATCGGGTCCATTCATTCCTATTCCAGTTAGGCGTTATTTTAGGCGTTATTTAACTAACGTGTGGAAAGCTGTTTGGTTAAGATGCTTGAGATATACTTTGCACAACAACTTTGTAAGGTTCGTTTAAGTTCAGTTCCAAAGATACGAGTATTTGAAATAGCTAATTGCTTCTTCCCGATGTTTACAATTTTCCTGCAGGGCATTGTGTTTCAGACGGCCATTTACAACCAGACTGTCACTATCATTGAGAAAGAAGAAGGCCTGGATGGTGAAACGTAAGACATTCCTTTCGTGATATTTGTTCATTGCATTTGACAAGAAAAGATGCGCCAAGCCTTATTTTTATATCTCGGCATCATGTAAACAATTCGTAGGTAATTCCCCACATGATACCCACAGACAGTCTCAGCCCTCAATTCCCCAACGTGTTGTAGTACCAAACCGTAAAAGGAGGTGTGAAATTGGTCTGTCTGATTTTTCAGTGCAACAAAATCCACAGAAACTCATCATCGTATGCCTCCCAAAATCCTAAATCAGGAGCTTGTTTGGAATGTGATTATTAGATACATAAAAATGCATATATTGTGAGTAAGTGAGCATCCATAGCTTTATTTTATTTACAGATACCGGAAAATAAACTTTTTTTCACGGAACTGATGTAATTATGCTGATTGGTGGCAAAACAGTGTTTTCAGTCAGGCATACCTGACTGAACATGATGTAGTCCGAACCCCTTTGTTCAGTCTCCTTCAAAAATATGATGAATGGACTGTGTCTCCTGTTTGTGCTCTTTTTTTCCATCTATTTGTTCATTGCATATTCTGCTGATGTATTTCAACATGCTCCATTCATCAACTGCTGACTTGATAGATTGCCCACCGAATGGCTTTAAACTGAGAGAAATGTTTCTTACGCTTAGAACAATGGACACACACTAATGACTATGATGTAATGTACTTGCAGAGTGTTTATGTACATCTTCCTTACCGGCCTGGTGGCGCTGATGCTCTTTGCGATGTACCAGGTCCTGGAATCACGAACGGTAAGTCTTTTTTTTTTTTTAAATCAACTATGAAGCTATGAAAGGTAAGTCTAATGGTTGAAAACAATCCATTCAGAAATGATCATTTTTTTTTAACATGTTTATTCAATGTCAAAACCGATGTTAAACTGTTAAACAGTCTGAAATGCAAATGAGGTTTGATGTGGAGTTAGTAGTTAAATGCCCGCTGAGCTGGGAAGTCCGAATGTATATCACGTGCTGGTTCAAATGACCGTGTTTTGCACAACTTTAGAGGCACATTCGCTTTGGAAATTGTAGTTGAATTCAGAGGTTTCCAATGGTACTTGTTGGAGGCTTGTCTTCGTAAAACATGATGATAGATGCTCTAACTGTTACAACATTTCTTGAAGTCATCTTAATGCTTTGGATGGAACACAGTTATAAGCAGGAAACCGCAATCTAGCTAGGAGACGCACTTACAGAGTTGTCTGGTCTATGTTCACGAAAGGTGTTCACACTATTTTTCGTCGCTCAGGCAGTTCAAGTCAAGGTCACCTCATAAGGTTCAAGTGGTGGTCACATTGCAACGTTCAGAGTAAGGTCTATTGTCAAAGTCTGTGTCTGCGATAAATAATTTAAGCTAAACATGCAAAATAGATAATTGATGGCTTCATACTCTACTGTGATTTGTGTCCCTGCGGAGGAATATGAAGACGGTTGTTAATTCTGTTTTTCAGAAAAAGAGAATCCCGGTAAAGTTAGAGAAGGGCACTGGCGGAATGAACGATGTGGACATCAGCTGGATTCCTCAGGAGACTCTCAATGTCATGAGTAGGTTCCTGCCCCCCCCCCCCCAATCTCCAACAGGAAATCTGTCTTGCCAGTTTGCACTGACAGTCATTTTCCAAATATGTGCTTTCTATCTTGTAGACAAAGCTTCCCCCAAAACTTCACCACGGAAACGAGCCAAGCGGGCAGCTGGAGTGGATCAATAAAGCTGTTGCTTTGCCTTCAATCAACATGAAGTCCATGAGGATTTCAAAGCTCTTTTCCTCACACATGTCTGATGCGTGATGGAAAACAGTGTTTGGACTTCAATTTCTGATCCGCGACTCTCAGAGTTGCCACCTCGACACTAGCTGAACTGAATTGTCATTCATTTTAATGTTTTTGTAACAGTGTGAATGTTTATGTGTGAATGTCAAAAAGAGGGCAGGAAATGGGTGTGGCTGAAAGCATCTTAGCATAGAAATGCTGTGCCGTTATCATAATGAGACAACTGGATCCTCACTATGTGCCATATCTCTCTGTGCCATTTCACAGGACCTCACAAAGCCCAACAATCGTAATTTGAATTTTTATCGGAATTGCACAGTGTACAACAGTGCAATGAAATTATGATTTAAAAAAAAATACATACATTTTGCCCTAGAAGTAACATTTCAAATGTGGTGGGGTGGTAGCAGCTGCCATTCGAACAAACAGATTTTACTCCAGGTTGTTAGAAAATTCCATTTGGTGTCTTAAAGGTGTCTGCGGACTCTTTAATGGGGCTGTTCAAACACATTTTTGAGAAGAATAAATGTGACGCCAAAACAATCGGACAGTTTTCCTTTTGTGGCATTTGAAGTCTTTGATGGTTGAGCATCCTTTTCTATTATTAACACATCCTGCATGGAGATAAGCAGATGAAAAGACTGATACAGGATCAGTGTGCTTAATTTTTGATGCATCAAGGTAGCAGGGGGGAGGGATGGAGGACGGAGGGGGCTGTCCGGCTCTGAGAGTGGGGCGTTGAGCTCAGCGCCCGTTTGGAGGAGGAGGGGTGTGTGTGTGTGTAGAGTGGGGCGTTGAGCTCAGCGCCCGTTTGGAGGAGGAGGGGTGTGTGTGTGTGTGTGTGGGGGTGTGTGTGGTAGTCAGCATCCCCATTGTGTGAGGCATAAACACCTATTTCCCAAAGGCCAATTCCACCTTAAAAATAGGTTTTCATATGCATTTTGCATGTTCGTTCACATGCAAACAACAGATTTCAGGTACTGACAACCAAATGTTCACCATTTTATCCTGACGAGAGCAGATTTGATTGTTTTTACTTTTGTTACAGGGGACTTCTTATTGGAAATGTAGTTTTTAGTTGCTCGCAAGTCACATGACTTGATTCGAGTGATGATATTGTAGTCGGCAATTTTAAGACTTAGACTGCTAAAGACATCGAAGCGACATTCATGTCCTACCTGAGCTAACTGTTATGCTTTTAGGACAGTCGAGATCTAGCTAGTCTCTTTTTGTGAGAGGGTCATGTTTGAGTTTTTCCTCAATGTAAGTCACAGAGCGATTAGTGCATTCCTCCGCTTCTCGCTATTATTTCAGTGCTCTTTAAGCACCTTTAACTGACGCTGGCCGCCCATTTGGGTCTATTCGCAGCGCAGGCGGCCTCAGACAAATTGGCACGTCTGCGAGCGTGTCTAACCACGTCCAAAACCTCCCA